CCCGCGCCTCATGCTGATTTGTTCTGATGTATTCAAAGCCCCCGCCCTCCCCCAAAAGTGTACTTAAGCACTGCTTAGCCTCTGCTCTGGGCTCTGGGCTGCTCTCACTTCTTGAGTGAGCCTAGAGCCTYAGGCTGAATTGGATCCTCAGTAAATCCCCTTCTGCATTTGCATAAGTCAGTCTCTTGGTGGTCTCTTTCTCYGACTTTTTGCTGGACCCTTACAACATGGGTGAGACTGTACAAGTGTGTCAATGAGTAAATGAGTCAAAATGGGAGTCTTAATTTATGTGTAAATATATAACTCAAATACATTTTTCTCATTAAATTTTTCCAAGAAAAAAGCACAAGTAGTTTCTGAACATATCAAACAAAATCAAAACTAAACAAAGAAAGGAAAAGAAGAGAGAGTAGAGGAGAAGAAAAAGGAAAAGAGAAGAAAAGAAATATGTGATGCCTCCAAAAAAAGTGTCTCGGGTCCCTCTTTGAGTCCATTCCTTTGATTACTGCTCCTTTTAAAAATGGTTCAGAGAGGTTGACTCACATAATTGGATTTATCTTGAGTACCACATTCCCGTTCACATAGCCCTTAAGAGACAAAAATATTTGTTGAAACGTGTGAAAAAGCTAATCCTACACTTCTCTCAAGGTAAAATAGCAAATTCCCACTTTCTGAGCAGAGTGGCACTGTGGGGTGATTAAACAGGATGGGCCTGCTGTCGTTCTATCCTCAGCTCTAGGAGACGTTCTTTTTATCCAGACCTGGACATTGAGCATTTGCTCAAGCATGGTAAGTACCGGATTTCAATTGTTTTTTGCCTACTCATTATTTAATAGGCTATTATTTCTTGGTCTAATCTTTGGGGTTTTTTTATACTTTTACTTTATAAAAAATTCTATACCCTCAATAAAATATATCTTTCAATAACACTGCTCTTTTCTTTCTCACCCTACTTTAACAGAAGAAATCCTTGAATTCATACTTGTCAGCTACTCATCACTTTCCTTTTTTTAATTTCACTATTCTTTTTCTTATTTTGTTTTATATTTCTAAATACCATGTTTAGACAATTTCAGGGGTTAGAAATACAGTAGTCCGGATGTCATTTCATTACTTCAATTAATAATGCATTTAATTATTCATTCATTTAATTTGTAAATGCTTTTCAATTTTTAACCACAATTGAGAATGCTTAAAAATTATAAAAAAGTAAAATTTATTCTTGTAAGAAGAAATTCAAGGACCTGGACCTACATAGGACAATGAAAAGATGCTTACATATGAGTTAGTAGGATTTTACACAGGCTTACCTCCACTGTTATCTGAATGACTTGTAGCAAACTTAAGAGTGTTTCCTTCAGGCACTATAGATTAATTCAAATTTCATAATGCTCAGCATAATTCAACTACCAGGTTACCTAAATGAAACATACTTTAAAATTGTATCTTTTTGTTAATGTAAGGCAAAAATTAAACAAATAACAGAAGTCTGATTCTGATATACCTAGCCTAGTTATCTCATTAGATTAGAAGCCAGCTTGTCACAAGTTATGAAGGATTCATTTCTGTTTTCTGTAAAAATATCAGGATGTCTGTATGGCCTGG